AATTATTTCGTGTAACCCAGAAAATCAAACTGCATCGTAATCAGCGCATCTAAGTGCTCCGATGACTCATTCATTTGTTATCGGAAATATGCTTAGAAATACGCTTTAAAGTGACAAAGGTTATATTTTACCGATTAGTTTCAGCAATAAGGATATATTTTTCTGATAGTTCAATTTTAAGTTTTCTCACAGGGCATTTAAGTCCCGGTTTTTCGTGAGATCTGACCAAGCACCCAACTTTGCGATTTCGATGGTGACTGGTGCCTCTGGTCTGCCAATTCAGAGGCAAAACACGATCAGCGACATGAGTAATCAGAGATTTTATATGCGTCAAATAGTGACTCGAAAATATGTTAGGGATTGTCAAGGGCGCGCAACAGTTAAATCTACTGTGGGTGGTCGGTTATCCTTCCCATCTTATCGCCGGTGACGCGTCCCATCTGAAGTCTGAAAACAGCCTTAAGCTCTTAAAGGTTCGCTGGCTTGTCCATGTGAACGTGGTTCTTCAGGTTACCCTACAACATGCAGTCCAGTGGCGGCAGGTCGGACGACAATCCACGGTGGTCTTAAGATGATGTACATTTCACGAAAGGTCTCTCCCAACCGATCCAGAGAAGCCCGCGCCGTTTGCTGAATCGCCCCGTCCTGCTGGCGCCGCTCCACGTCCCCATCAATCCCGTGAGGCGGTCCCAGGGCCGCCGAGAAGGATGTTGGAGAGGAAGCGACGCAGCGCTCTGAGATGGTGTTGACAGAGTCCCCGTCCTCGCTCTCTGGAGTATCTACTAAAGCGTCACAATTGGACGAATTTGAACCCATTAATGGCTGCCATTGGTTTGTTCCGTTGGAATGGCCATTCGAATGCCCCGCAGTCTTGAATCTACGAGAGATACACTTGTCATCGTTAAGCAAAACGTTGGTTAGCTACTATCAACAGTAGTTTCTGGGTCACCCTCCATCAACGGTAGTTTCACATAGAGACAGATCGCTTATTTCTGTCTCTCTACGACCCGTTTCCGAACCTAATTCTGCTGTGTTGTTAAGGCGAAATCTCACAGCACAATCGTGAACACTCATTCTGTGTCTCAGGCATTCGTTCGCGTAGAAGGGAAGGCATAAGTAATTTGCTAACGCAGTACTCGGTGTGGGTCATTGTAAACTTCCGGCTCAGCCGTCTGTGATTTTTCAGCTTTCAACGTGGAAATGCATATGGGTTGTTGGGAGTTTGGATTATTTATCAATTTTGACACATTTTAGTGGTAGTGTCTGCGCACATTAGTATCATTTTCTGAATTCATGTGTCCAATTTTTGAAGTGTGCCTCATATTTCGTTCAATATTTTCGAACCATTGTCACTCTTGAGGATTGAGCACCGCCAATATAATTATGGCTGCAACGTCAAACCAGTAGCTCTTGGAGTGTTCAGGTTCGTTAACTCAGCATAAGAACTTTGAAATTGAACTCATAACCCGGCAACCCTTCCAATATGTCATGGCACGGCTACTCATATGAAAAATGCAGATATCATACACTAGTGAACGCCGGCTATTGATATGCAAACCGCAAATATACTGTGCAACATTACGGAGTAACTGAAGCAATGTTTTAGCTTAAAAAACATAAAAACATAGAAACATAAAACACGCAACATAAAAACAAACATAAAACAAAACATTGCGCACAAAAGTGTCCGCTAAATGGCAGTATAAGAGCTCAGGCATCAATGATGCATCGAGGCGATAATTGTGGGAACGATCAAATCTTTGTTCAAAATTGGGCGCATTTCATCATTTGCAAATTCATGCAAATATACACCATGCAAAGAAGCACTAAAAACAGCTGAATCGTACACTTCCTAGCAAAGCAACATATTGTGCCGACAGAATTTTAATGACTGCCATTTTATCGTGAATATCAACCTGACGTGAAGGTTAATGCATACCGGTATTTACTTATCTTTCTTCTTGGCAATGGTCATGCTCTTATGACGTGCAGCTAGCAGCTGTCCTTGGCAACCTGGGTTTTTCATTTGAGCACACAGCTGATCTTGATCTCGAATCAACTTTTGATGCTGCCATGACTATGGCTTTTGGGGCTTAGATAGTTGTATTTGGATCAGTAAGGAACACTCCTTAAACAAATGTGTTATTGCAATTAGACCGTTAACACTTTTGACTAAAACAAAACCTCGTAATTACTCGCGTCTATGAAAAATGACTCCTCATTTGGACACTATAATAAAGGTGTCTGCTTTAATATGAGCAAAAGGGGTCTTCAGCTTCCATTCCTCGACCTTATAATTTTCACGTTGTAAACAATCACACATCAAGATACCAGGACGCGCAGAATAAGCGACATTAGCAAGGAAGCGTTGAAATATTTGACGTCATCACGCAAGCATGCATTGCCACTCATGGTCATAAGCGCTGCCTAGAAACACCGAGTTTTTCCATGACAAACGGGTCGTTCCACGGCGAATCGACCACAGATGGGCGCATTTCAATATGACACCCCTTCAAATCCGACGAGGACATGCTTATGGGGTACCATTCTTCAAGTTTTAAAGCCGCGGGGCGCGCCTGCGGCGGAGCAAGGGGCAGACGAAAACACGCGACAACGCCACGAACCTTATTTTTTAACTTCTCCGGCGATGATGCTTCGGAAAAAACATTCGAAAAACTCAGTACCTACATGCCTCTGTAGCTAGGGCCATTATAGCATTCAAGGCTAATTAGGTACATAGTGATATAGCTTGATATTTGACCTAATTTTATAAAAGAACCCTCTCCCTTAGATTTTCTTAACGCCGATGCTGCAATTTACAAACAATCTATTGTCGTTGAGAGCAAAAAATATATAGATGAGATCCCATTAAGATCGGTCGCAATTCGAATTTGAACATTGGCGGATCACGCATGGCGGCACTCGTGAGCCGACGGGCCGATGTGGGTGACCAGGTGTAGTCGGCTCACTACGTCGGGAACTATGGCCGTGACCTTGAAACGAACTGGGGCTGTGGAACGATGCATAAATGAAGAATGCAGTTTGGTTGACCTTGCGACCTGTCATTCATCAAGAGTCGCGTAGAAAGGGAGCCAACTTATGTTTCAACAACGTTGTGTGCAGCCAGACATAATCAGTCAAAAAGCGGTTGTTTTAGACAACTTTTGTTGAATCATTATTTGTGCACGTCAGTTGATGCGAATAATAAAGCTGAAATGACCAGTTTACAATCCTTGGTTGCTTATTCCGCAGCCCATGTTTTGTGCAACAAGTCGTTACAATCAATTTTTCGCGCTGCATTCATACCTCACGGAATTACTTAGGTGTTTGAGCAGGTGCTCATTGACGTAATTGCAACTGAAACGCGGTCCCCTGGGCTGATGGCGCCTGCCGCCGCGCTTTGCCTCCATCCAGCGTTCGTGCGTATCTTGAACTTGCATTCTAAACGTCGCTCGTTTTGCGGATTTCATCCGCAATCACATAAATAAAAAGTATGCATATCAATGGAAAGTACAAAACAAGCTACGAGATTTTTCGCAGACAGATAGTGGGCTCACATATGCATGACAGACCAGCTACGAGTGGAACGCACAAAGGTGTGCTTACCCGTGTTGTACTCCATACAACATTTAATAAACTGCGTCTGTATGTTCACTAATATTGGACGAACGTACATCAACATATGTTCACTGAACAGCAATGTGGCCGGTGCGTCTGCGACACATATCCAGTGGCATGTGACGTCATTGACTCAAAGGCCCGCGACCAGCGCAAAGGTCCCCGCGACTTGTATTTGAGGGCCCGGCCTTCCGGACCGGGGCCTCCACGCACGCCCTTCGGCCAGCCCTGCTACGAGGCCATAATAGATCATGCGTCAATGACGTGAGAGTGACGTCATGTTCGCTGATAATAACACGACCGCATAGCCGTAGACAACTTGACATAGCAACCGAACGGAAGATGATATTTAATATTTGCTGAAAGGAAATGTGAGCCAATTGGATCATCACCCTGTTGTATTTAACAGTTGTGTTTGTGTTAAACAGTTGCTGCCCTGTTGTGCTTAACGCTGCGCATTGACATATTTGCATAACAAGTAATAAAACTATTAATAAAAGGTACGCTTTGGATTTTGCACCTTCGAGTCCAAATCATGACAGCATCAGACAAGATATCCTAGATGCCAGTATGCAAAATGTCTGCACCAAACTTATGGCTTAAAATGCATGGCAACGCATGTTGTCCGTGCCCACCTGGGCACTGTGCACGGCAGCAGGCGGGGTGAAATTGGCGGGGGGTGAGGGCTCAGGTCTGCCACGGTGGCGCTGTGACGGGGCGGCAGAAGGCGCACAACCCTTGTTGTGTGGTGCGAGACCGCACTCTGCGACATTCCTCGGTCGCCATTTGATTTTTGTAATAAACCTTGCCGTTCTTGAGATAAGCTGGGAAGGTAGGATTCCCTCCATCCCGGTCAGTGGTGTACCGGCCAGGAGCCCAGGTTTATCGGTGCCGAGATCCCTTTGGTCCCCGGCCTCCTGCGTCGCCTGTCTGCCTGCGCCACTGGTCCCGATAATCAACGCCTATAGAAATTGGATGCACCAAAAGTTTGGTGACGTTGCCCAGTAGGAGACGAAATTCCGCCCGCATAAAAGTCTCAAGTCTCAAGTCTCAAAAGTCTCAAGTCTCAAAAGTCTCAAGTCTCAAAAGTCTCAAGTCTCAAGTCCCAACAGCTATGATCCCACCGTACCGCTATGGACTACACGCCATGGCGGATGTCTTACCAATGGCAGTTTGCTGCCTCCAAAGGGGCCCTTTTCTTTATCACTGCCTAGTATCCGTGTCGTGCATTTGGTTTTCCTTCAGCGACATTGCAATTCTCCAAAATTTGTATTTCAGAGAGCAGCCTTCCAAATGCGCTCTCAATAGCAAGGAGCATGAAATAGACCAAAGGGCCTAGCTTTCCTGCGATTGACCAAAAATGGCTGGGTTTGAGAACTCACCCGTTTCCTGGGCTGGGCGCGCATCTGTCCGACCTCCTCGACAGTGAGCTGCGAGATGAGGCTCTCTGCCGCAGGGCTCACGCCGTCGTAGTACTCCTCGGCCAGCAGCTCCGAGTAGTGGGCGAGCTCGGAGGGCGACGAGACCGTGCGCACGTGGCTCGGCTCCAGCTGCACCAGCTCGCGGTCGGAGGCGCCGGCCAGTCGCTCCAAGCCGGCCGCCGCCGCCGCCGCCGCCGCCGCCGCCCGCTCCGGCCGCGGGGAAGAGCCAGCCGGTGAGGGCGACGCCGACGCCGACTCCGCCAGCGACGATAGGAACTTGAGTGAGTCGTCACCGCGCGCGCGGTACGAGTCGCCGCGACTCATCTTGCCCTCGAGCATCTCACCGTAGGGGCCGCGCAGCCGGCGGCGCGGCCCATGCGGACTGCGTGGAAATCGGTCCACGTCGCTGTCGTACGACAGGAGCGAAGGCGACACATGACGGCGGCTGGCACCGAAGGCCAGCTGCTCGTCCAGCGGCAGCAGCTCACCGCCGTGCGCCTGGTGCGCCAGCCGTGGCCGCAGCGTGGCCGCGCCACTGGCGGCGCGCGCGCGCACCTTGTCTGGCTTGGGACGCGCGTAGTTCTTGTCCAGGGTCAGACTGCGGCCGCGTGGACGCAGCTCATCCGACGAGGAGGAGCTCAGGCTGTCGTTGCTCGGCCCCAGGCTGAGCGCAGCCTTCTCTGATTTGCGCTTCAGACTGCGTTTGCGCTCGTTGCGAGGGTGGTCGATCAGGTCGAAGCTGCGCTGCTTGTGCCCCAGGCTGCGAGACTTGCCGCGCGTGCCTGGCCGCGGTGCCGCCTCCGCCTCGGGCGCCGCCTCTTCGTCCAGCTGCGCCATGGCCTCCTCCCGGTAGTGGAAAGGGATCGGGCTAAGGCTCTTGGACTTGAAGCGTTGCGTGAGGGCGGTCCTGGCGCTGCGCTGCTGCCCGTCGCGCGCCGTCGTCCCGCCGGCGTTGAGCGCCAGCAGCGGTGGCAGTTGATCCGAGCGCCGCTCCTCCTTCTGGATGGAAGTGAAGGTTGTGGTGAGCTCCTCGGAGCCACTCCACTCGTCGGTGACCTCCTTGCCCTCTACGCGCACCTGAGCGACCTCACGCTCTCGGACGGCGCCGGCGGGCAGCGTGACCAGCTCGGTCTGCTCTTCGCCGGCACTCACCTCGCTGAGCAACGTCTCAACGGCCATCTTGACCGCCTGCCGGAAGTTCTCCTGCACCCGGCACACCGTTTCATTGCCCTCTTCGTCCAGTTGGTCCAAGTTCATATTCAGCACGTCCTCGTGAGCCTGTTGCAGCCGCAACTGGCCGTCCGCCGCCTCACCGTCCGCCGCCGCGGCCGGTGTCGTTATGGCATCCCAATTATTTATAGCCGGTGACGGTGGCGGCTCGGCGGAGGTCGGCTCGGCGGCTTTTCCCGGCGGCGGCGGACCCGTGGTGAGTTCGGCGGACACCCCCCGCGCGCCTCCACCCACGTCTGGCTGCGGCGCGGCGCCGCCGGTGGCAGCGCTCTGATCGACGCCACTATTTTCAGGCGGCTCCGGCTGCTTGTTTTGGCCGCGGTCATTCATCGCGGCCGAGTGGCCACTCTTTACGTCCGTGTCGGACGTGCGCGCGCACGAGGACGCCGGTATCGCCGCAGGATCGGCGTGCGGTGTCGCTATCACATCGCGCGTCGTCTTCACCTGCGGCGCGCCGAGTGGGGCGTCGGACGCGGCAGGCGGGTGGTTGGCCGCGGACTTCGATGGTGCGCCTGGCTCGCCCGCATATTCACCGTCTGTGTTCACGAGCGCCGATTCCGTGCCCGCGTCGTTCGTGGAGGCTGGAGGGACGTCATCAGTGGGCAGCAGCCCGACGGTGGCGCCTGACACCTTCGAGTCGGCAGGAATCGCCTCAGCATCCCCGCCCTCTACCTTGCCAGACCTTGAGCCCTCGATCCCCTCAGCACTATCATTGCATTCGCGACCTAGAAAGGAGGAGGTGCCCTGGTTGATCTCCTTGAGCAATGCGTCCAGGAGTAGGCTGTCCCGCTGTGAAGCGGCGGACTTCGCGACTTCTAGAGTCTCCTCAGGAGCAGTCTTGTCCCATTCTACCATCGAGTCGGACTTGTGACGCACATGCATGGGCTTGAGCTCGGCCGGCGCAGGCGGCTCCTCTGCCACGGGAGAACTGTGGCTCTTGAACTTCTTTGGTAGCGTGTGCGAGCTGACGGGGGCACCGGCCGGCTTGTTGATGCTGAAGTAGACGGGCTGGATGGTGATGGCCGACTTGGCGCCGCCAGCACGGGCGGCGCGGCCCATGCCGGCCGAGTGTGCCCGCGAGAATGACGCGCTGCGAAACGGGATGGTGCGCGTCTGAGTGAAGAACTCGGGCCGGAGGTCGGTCGGCCGGCTTGGGTGGCGGCTCTGGGGAGCTGGCCGCCGCACCCGCCGTGTCCACTAGCGCCGCCGTCGGCGCCGAGTCTGCACGCCCAACACGCGGTTCACTGACACTGGCAGGCGTCGGGGTGACAGACACGGGTGCCGTCGCCACACTTGCCCGAGTTTGGGACGCACTGGCCACTGCACCAGCAACAGAGCTAGAAGTATGAGAGACACTGCCGCCGACGGCACCATCGCTGGCCCCAGCCGCCGGGAGCCGTTCCTGCGGCGCGCTGTGGGTCTTGTAGAGCGGCACCTTGGGCGGCGCGGAGTCGGGCACATTCTCCCCGATGGGCGGTGGTCGCGGTGGCCGAGCCTTGCGCCGGTGCCGCCGCGGCGGCTGGCTGGGAGGCTTGTCTGCTGTTGTGGGCGCCGCAGCAGCGACCGGCATCGCCGAGGACGGCGGCGGAGGTCGGGCCGGCGGGCTCATCGACGACGGCCTCTCCTCACGCCCCCACTTGAGATCGGTGTGACGCAAGCGCTCGGTGAACTCCCGCAGTCTATCCACCCGACGGGCCTTACCCTTGGGAGACTGCGGCCGCTCGTGGCCCTTCTTCGTCGGCTTCGTCGGCTGCGGCTGCGGCGGCGGCGGCGGCGGCGGCGGCGGTGGCGGTGGCGGCGGTGGTGCCTGTTCGCGACGAGCGCTGACTCGGAGCCTGGAGAGGGCGAGGCCGGCGAGCGCCGAGCCGTCGGTGCCGGCTTCCTCGACGTCCGACAGCGAGCCACTCTCGTGCGCGGCCGCCCTACCGGCCGGCGGCTGGACGGCCGCTGGCGCCGCTGGGTCGGACGGCGTCGGCACCAAACCGTCGGCAGAGTCCAGCGACACGCTGTGGCCCTTGGCGAACGCTTGTCGCCGCCGCCACAGGCCGCCCGCTCCGCCCTCGGACGCCGCAGGCGGCGGCACCTGCGCCCTTGGCATGGTCACCGCATGCCGGCGGCGGCGGAGCTGGCCGACGTCCGCCTCGTCGCCGGAGCGTGTGAGTGGCACGCAGGCGAAGCGCAGGTAGCCCTGACGCCACTGGGCCGGTCGCGGCGCTCCCTGAGAGGGGGCACGCCACCACTGACCGCAGTCGGCACCACCTCCCCGAGCGTCCGCCGCCTCTCCGGTATTCGCCACCTCTGGCGGGCCGAAATTTATTTCGGGCGGCGTCAAGTGTAAACAGAGAGTGGGCGGTGGGCCAGCGGTCGGCTTCCGTTCGTCGCGAGGTTGGCCGCAGGGCGGCACCACGGTCGGCGGGCTGGTCGCCAGCGCGGCCGCCACCCCGGCGCTATTTTGGGGGCGCATGGCGGCAAACTACGTCACCTGGCCCTGTCCTCGCCTCGCTAGGGAGCAGGTGGCGTCGTCACCGGGTGGTCGCACCGCCAGGCGACCCCGATAACGTCACAGGTCGGGCTGAAGTCTTGTGGCCGGAACGACTCTCGCGAAAGACGCTGGGTCAGCCATGGTGTCCGTGCGCAGTGCCCTCTCACGGGGTGCAGCAGAGCAGCAGGAGCGCTGGAACACGTGCACCGGTTACACAACACGTACCACACAGCTACCACACCTACCACACCTTTGCTGTATGCGCTGAATCTGGTTAAATTCTGTTGAACAGGCCTACATTGTACCACAATGGCGTCCGAAAACTTCCAAAGAAGGGGTCTCTGAGTCGATGCACCTGCTCGCTTCCAGCATGTTGCGACGCTTTCGGGGAAAATTAACGAAACATTCTAATGTCGTGATTGGCTCATATGTCCTGGAACATTTTTCCCCGATTGTTAAATATTGTCACAAATCGGCCTTCTTTTCTCCCACCAGCCGATACAGGTGGCCTGCTGCACTCATCTCGCGCGCTCTCCTCATCCCTATCGTATTGTGCCAATGGTGTAGAACCTTCCCTGCTGTCGTGTCATAGCCCATCCACCTGTGCGTTTCACTTTACCCGACCTGGTTTCCACGCAGCCACTCTCCTGCCGCGACCCGTGCTGTTCAGCTGTTCAGCTGTGTGCGTTGGCGCGTGCTCAAAGAACAGCTGATGGGCCGCAGCTAATGGGAGTGACCGGCGCCTCGACAGGGTGGATCACAGCTCAGACCAATTCATTACAGTTGGTGGTTGCGTCAGCGGCACTAGTATGGCGCCTGTGGCACTGGCCGTGGCCTTTGGCCGGCTTACGTGACGCCGGGCAACAGGGGAGCTTTGCAACCAAGCGCGAACCGGTCCCTGTCCTGGCCAGAGGGGGCGGCAGTGTCAGCTGCCGACTCTGTCGGCTGATGCGACGGTCACAAGAGCCGTCAGGGGCTGCGACAGTGTCAGCTGCCATTCCCGGGCGGTGCTGCCGTCCCGTGACAGGAAGGGAGGTGCCCGCCCTTCCTGTCAGGATAGGAGACAGACGACGCCATATAGCCTTAGCGGAGTGCGTGGTAAATCCCAAATGACATACAGACACACCGTGTCAGCTGCGGGACTGTGGGACTGCGGGTCTGCGAATCTGCAGAACTCTGTGGGACTCTGCGGGTCTGTGGGTCTGCGGGTCTGCGGAATTCTGCAGGTCTGTGGGTCTGCGGGACTCTGCGGGACTCTGTGAGTCTGCGGGACTGCAGGACTCTGCGCACGTACGGGTCTGCGAGACTCCGCGGGACTCTGCGAGTCTGCGAGTCTGCGAGCCTGCGGGTCTGCGGGTCTGCGGGTCTGCAGAATTCTGCAGGTCTGCGGGTCTGCGGGACTCTGTGGGACTCTGCTGCGGGTCTGCGGGTCTGCGGAACTCTGCGGGTCTGCGGGTCTGCGGGTCCGCGGGTCTGCGGGTCTGCGGGTCTGCGGGTCTGCGGGTCTGCGGGACTCTGCAGGTCTGCGGGTGTGCGGGACTGCGGGACTCTGCGGACGTGCGAGACTCTGCGAGACTCTGCGAGACTCTGCGGGTCTGTGAGAGTCCGGGACTCTGCCGGCTGACGCGCCGCGACGCGGCCACCAAACGAGCCGCCGGCACGATATAGCTCGGCGGCGCGGCGCGCTTGGACTGAGGCCAAACGGCTGCTGGCCGACACACTGGTGCTGAGGCGCCGTAGCTGGGAAGTTGTAAGGATGTGATGCAATGTGAGTTAATATATCTGATGGCGAATGTGGAGGCGCCATGACTGGACAGCTGTAAGGGTGTGATGCGATGTGAGTTCATGTATCTGATGGCGAATGTTGAGGTGCCATGGCTGGACAGATATAAGGATGTGATGCGATGTGAGTTCATGTATCTGATGGCGAATGTTGAGGTGCCATGGCTGGACAGATATAAGGATGTGATGCGATGTGAGCTCATGTATCTGATGGGGAATGTTGAGGCTCCATGGCTGGACGGGTATAAGGATGTGATGCGATGTGAGTTCATGTATCTGATGGCCATTGTTGAGGTGCCATGACTGGACAGCTGTAAGGGTGTGATACGATGTGAGTTCATGTATCTGATGGCGTGGCTCCGTTGTGGTATCATGAGCAATGGGTAGGAATGCCTGAATAGCTTTTCACTGTGTTTGCTTGAGAATGGAATAACTAATCACACATGTACCTAGTTCCCAGAAATGGATGCCGGCATCGCATCCCAATGTCTTGAATACCGGACGTTTTGGTTAGTAAGATCTTTGTTAAACTATTTCAAGCAATCCTGCAAGATTTTAGACCTGTTGCATAATGTTAGCAGCATTCTTCTGAGATCATGAATCTTCGTTATAATTGGGTTGAAAGACCTCCTGGGATCCAGCATTCCTTTAGTTGTTTAAGAATCTTCCAGCTTTGTTCAAGCAAAGATATTGGGCTTTTTTAACGGAAATTGAAGTCACGCGCAGGCACGATAAACTGTTTTATTGGCAAAACTTGACCTGTCAAGATTTAGCACGCTGCCAGTACTCGGACATCTGCCACATCTTTGCCATGCCTTGCCAAACCCTTCAGTGACATCAGACATTAACAAGGAAAGTTCATTCATGTTCATTTGGCTTATCAGTGCGCGCCAAGGGATAACTATGGTAGGTTGTGTGAGGTTGTATAACATATAAAAGATTTTGTAGCGCGTTGAACAACCACATCAGATTTTTGGTTCTGACTTATTAGACTGGACCACGAAATCTTGCATGAGACTGTAACCTGAAGGATAGTTAATAATTTTGAAGATACTATGTACAGTTATTTTCAGAACAAAAATGATCTACTGCACGCCGGTGGTAATATTGCGGACATCTGAAACAAGCCAAATGAACAAAGGACTTTTGGTGTTAAGTCAACTGCAGGTAAAAGTATTTTCCCTTTTCCTTAAACCCAATTCCAAACGCACGGAAACGCACACCCATCTCAGAATTGCTAGTCATTGTCGTTCGGGAGATAACCTGTCCAAGCCAAACATCGTTCGAAACTATATTATAAGAAGCCCTATGCATTGTAACCAATCCGAACGATACAAGCATGATAGCTAATGCTTTAGGCTCAATTCCAGGTAACGGACATTGTATGTTAGTGCGACACCAGAGGCAAGACTGAATGCAGAAACCATTCAATGAATGACACCAAAGGTCAGGACTTAAATATCGTGCTTACAGTTGGCTTCAACTTCCTAAAATGAATGCATGCGTTGGTTTTGGTCCCGGCGCAATCTCGGTTTGCCACAAGAAGCTTGACCTTAAAGACAGTGTTTAATTCAGGACTGGACATTAAAGCGTTGACATTTTATTGCAAGACATGCTTGCCCAAAGGTGTGTTAAGTCTATGTAAGCAAACATCTTTATGATGTTAATTGAACCGATACCGCACTGGTCTTTTGCTCCCGCCCACGTAAAACTCGAGTCGCCCTTTCGCTTCGCAAAGCCTGCATGTGATTTTGTTCACTTCGATTTTTAAGGCATTTACCAGGGGAGCCGCAAATACAGGTGTAGCAGCGCTTATGGTCCGATAGGCGGGGCGCTTCGGTTAAAACTAACCGTACCAGGTTTTCTTTCAAAGTGGGCCCACTTACCCAAACCACCCTTTTAGGTGCCTCAGCCCTCCTGATTACTACCTTAACCCGCCTAAGTAGCGTCGCATGCCAGGCTTCTGTACACCAGTTGGTTATGCTTGCCTTTGGGTAGATTTAATCAACAAAAACGGCTATCCGAATCACTTAATTAATCGGTTACATTCGAAACTAAAGCACGCTGAGGCGAATCGAAACACTGATTCGTCAATATTTTGATAAACAATTTCTTGATACTTATGTGAAGTGCAACGTTGGGTGCCACGCGTCCCCCAGA